TATTTGTGGTTTTCTTTCTTCTGCTTCTTTAACATGTAAAATCAGTTGATATAATATTAGTGATGAAAATCTAATGAAGTGTTGTAAATCTATATTATCATAGTAAAGTCATAGGAAATTTAAAAACAAAATATTCCTCAAATGATTTTTGCTCTACAGAGCTCAGAAGATTCCAGATCGTGGTCTTTAGAGCTTCAAGATTTGTTGTTTTCTCGATTGGATTTTATTATGCTTTGCTATAGTTGCTCATTTTTGAGGGGGGCTTGTTTTTTTCTTCTTTGGAAAATGAATGTCTACTTGGTTGTTGGAAATGTGTTAATTGGCTTTGATATTCATAGGAGCTTACAGTTAAGATGCTGGAGACTAGTTAAGATACTGGACAGCATTAGCATTTTTAGGGGTTGGGGAGACCTTTTAAAGCAGACTATAGTAATGCGTGCCGAGGTCAAACTCAAGACCTTGCACACTCTTGGCAAGAACTTTAGCACGGGACACTTTTGTGTTTCTTAGTGATTAAGGCTGAGGGCAACGGGCACCTCGCGCATTCAGATAAAAGGGTAATGCCTCTTGAACTCATTCGTATTCTTGCTCAAACACCTAGCCATGCTTATTCAGTGTCACTGTGCATCAAAAGTTTGCATAGTACTCAAATTAGATATAGATGTGAAAAGGGCCTCTTTCTCACAGTGCAGAAATACATATTTACAGAGACACAAATACATATTTACACTCCACATAAAGACAGAGAGCTCACTAGAGGCCTTGCTAGCATGTAGCAAGCCCTAAGTTTGATCCCCAACCCTTAAAAAAAAAATCTTCACCTGGGGTGCTCAGTGAAGTTCCAGAGGGGGTGTAGCTAAGCTCTGTGCTTACCAGGCATGCAGGAGGCCCTGTCCACCTCCAGCTGAGTGTGGCAGTGCATCCCTACAACCACAGCACTTAGAGGGGAGGTAGGAAGACTATAAGCTAAAATCATGAGGACCTAGGGGCATGGTTTCATGGGTAAGTGCAGGTGTTGGACAAACATAAAAACTTGAGTTCAAATCCCCTGCGCTCACATAAAAAAAAAAGTTGCATGTGTCCATTCTAGCCTGCACCTCCAGTGCTGTCTGTTGTGGGAGGTGAGAGGAGAATCCTTGGGGCTGTCTAGCTGGCTATTGGAAAGAGTACTAGATTCTTTCAGGTAGAGACAGTCTCAAATAAGGTGGAAAGTAATCTAGCAAGACAACGACTGCCCTCATCTGGTCATAACATGCAAGTGCAGGAGCATGTGCACCAAATACAGGTGCACAGTGTACAAGTGTGTGCACACAAAAGACATACGGCAAAAATAAACACGCAGCTCGAGGTCACAAGTTCCAGCACAAGGCTACAGACCTATTTTCCTAGTCACTAGGAAGCTGAGGCAGGAGGATCAACCAAAGCCAGTTGGTCCAACTTGGCAAGATAGGAGTGATGAGGCTGGAGAGATGGCTCAGTGGTTAAGAGCACTGACTGCACTTCCAGAGGTCCTGAGTTCAAATCCCAGCAACCACATGGTGGCTCACAACCATCTGTAATGAGATCTGATGCCCTCTTCTGGTGTGTCTGAAGACAGCTACAGTGTATGCATATATAATAAATAAATCTAAAAACAAAAGAGAGAGAGATTTGAGTTTAAAAAAAAAAAAAAGGAGTGATGATGAGACTCTGTCAGAAAATGCTGGCTTGCTTTGCTCATGACCCAAGATTTAGAAGCAGAAGGAACCTGATCTTCTAACAAAAGGAAAATGTGTACAACAATACATGGATGTGAGATGCATGTCATTTGGGGAGGTGTGTGGTTGGTAAGGGTGTAGAGGGGTACTGGTAGGTAGGATGGGTGCTGGGTGAGTGTAAGGGGGTGAGAGGGTTGTACGGGGTGTAGGGGAGGTGTAGGGTGGATGATGGGTTATAGAGGAATGTAGAGGGTAGGGGTGTAGAGTGGGTGCATGGTGGGTAGGGTGGGTGCAGGGTGCAGAGTGGGTGTAGGGGGTGTGGAGGGATGTAGGGTGGGTCCAGGGTGGGTAGGGTAGATACAAGGTGGGTAGGGTGGGTGACAGTGACAAAAAAGGAGTCGATGTGCGCAGTCCTAAAGTCAATGCAGAGCGTTATACATCTTACATTTTTGGTTGTGAGCCTAGCCTTTAAAGGCCGAGCCATCTCTCCAGCTCCGTTATACATCTTAATCCTGCGAGTTGCAAGATGGCCAGAATGGGTTCAAGGAGGGAGAGGAGACGTCTAGTTTGTTGTTCAAATGACCAGCACAACTCTTGTGGAGTCAGAACGCCTGGACCAGTGACAGGAGATCTGAGGACAGGCTGTGGGAAAGGACTGTGAGTAAGAACCGAAGATGCCAGAGTGCTGAGGAAAGCTGGGATGACAGAGACCCTTCTGGGAAGTAGAAGGAGCAGGTTTTAGAACCCAATGAGCCCACCTTTGGCAACCTAAGACATCAAAACAGGTACAGAGCACACATTAGCAGAGACAGAGGAAAGGGACAATCACTTCTTAACAAACACTGTAGCCAATCAATGAATACCTGAGGGAGGCAAAGAGGAGAGTTTTGACGAGGAGAACCTAAGTCTGAGGAGTGCTGGGAGAAGTTCATGTTTGTCTTCGTTCTGAGAACCCTGAGTAGGAGCTTTCTTGGTCACTGGTTCCTCCCACTGCTCACTTGGGGCGAGGAGTGCAGCCTTAACCCTGCCAGTCACAGAACTGGAGATCAGACCCTCTACCAGAGTGGGGTGTGGCCCACCATCTCTTCTTTCTCACCCCAGCCCTGGTCTGAGACTCTGGTAGCTATGCAAGAGATGCTCAGGAATCAAGGTCCAAAGCCAGGACAGTTGTATTTACCCACAGTGGCCCAGCAAGCTGTGGCTGGGATGGAGCCCAGCACCTTGAGTCTGCCCTTTCATTGCAGAGCCTGGGTGCTCTGGGGTGGACAGAGCTGGTTCTTTTTTAAGGTCCTATAGTTCAGGAGCTCATTCAACATGATGTCTGGAACAGCAGCCTGCCCAGGCTGCTGGGGTTCTGGGTCAGCATGCTGACCCTCTGGTGAAAAGACAAGGCCCTGGCACTGGCTGGCACTGGCATATGCAGAGTGGAGGGCCTCACCTGTCCAAAGACTTCATCCTGGGCTGCCTGGCAAGTGGGAGCAGCGGTGAATTCATAGGAAAGCTAGCTGTCAACCTGTTGATGGTGCCCAGGACCACCACCCGCCAGTGGGAGATTCCAGGTACCTGAAATGGCTTTCCTGCAAAGTTGAAGTGCTTTGATATTCCTAATCTTTCTCTAAATTTTGTAATTATATTTATGTACAGAAACTTAGTGTACATGTAATCCAGTTTAGTGGTGAGTTCTTTAGCCTTTTCCTTTTCCAGCTTGGTAATGCGAGACAGAGACTTAGGACCCAGGACGTTGCCTCCCCAGTGGCAGCGGATCTCGTCATATCTGTCATTATAATTGATCCTAATAGCTTCCACCAGCTTAGCCAGAGCACCCTTGTCTTCCGAGTTAACCTGTGTGAAGGCAACAGTGGTACATGTCTTCCTGTGGACTAGGCGCCCCAGCCTGGCCTTTCCCTTGATGGTGCAGTAGGGCACACCCATCTTTCTGCACAGGGCAGGCAGGAAAACCACCAGCTCAGTGGGGTCTACATCATGGGCAATCACCACCAGCTGAGCCTTCTTGTTCTCCACCAAGGTGGTGACTGTATTGACTCCTGCTCGGAGGACAGGCGGTCTCTTAGTTGGGATGTCCCCTTTGCCAGCAGCTTTCTTCTCAGTACGGGCCAGTAGCCTCCGTTTCTTCTCTCGCTTTGTCTCTGGCCTGTACTTGTGGGCAAGCTTAAGCAGCTGAGTAACTGTCTGCCTGTCTGGGGCCTGGGTGAACTGGTTAATGGCAGGAGGTACTTTGAGTCGCTTATAGAGGATGGCTCTTTGCCGCTGCAGCCTGATGTAGCGGGCCATTTGAGGATGGTGTTTTTGAGGATGCGTGTTGGATCTCTTTTGGGCTGGATGTCCTGCCCAATGCCGAAGTTCTTGGGCCTTTTCTCGAACAAAGGATTGACCACCTTTTTGGCCTCCCGTTCCTTGATGACAGCGAGGGGGGTGGGGGGCACCATTTTCCCCTTGGCCTTCTTTCCTTCGGGCATCTTGCTCGGCTGGAGGAGAGAGCTGATGTTCCTCGTCTTATATGATCCTTTGCAACATTTGCAGGACGATATTGAAAACTTTTAAAGTAACTGAAACCATCATTTTAGTGTTGGAGAGAAAACCTCTCTCCTAGGCGCTATATCCAACCCCACAAACTGTGTTCAAAATGGCAAGTGTCTCTGCACTCCCCCACCAAATACCTAATCCTGAGATTCCCAGACTCATGTTATGACCTTCCCCACTCCAACACCAACGGCACTCAGTTCCATCTGAAATCTAACTGGGTTGGGTCCCCTTGCAGGCTGGGTACCTCGGGGAAGCAGGGGTTAAAACCGGGGCCCTTGTGGCCCCTTCCCCCTCCCCAGCTCCCTCGGCCCCACTCGGCGCCTCGCCTGGAGCGAAGGTTCCCAGCCCTGCACTAGAGGGGAGGGGGAGAAAGGCTTGTTTCTCGAGTGGCCAATCCACGAGCTCGAGGTGCCTCAGAGGAGGCGCCAGCATTAGTCCTGCCCGGGGCTGCAGGCTTCCCGCGGCAAAGTACAAATGCGCCCGAGCGCAGCGTCTGGCGCCCGAGGCGTGCACAGCGGCGGCAGCGCTCAGCCTCCCCCGCGCCGCCACCGAGGGTCCTGTCGCCCCATCGCATCCCAGACCCGCGTCGGACCCCCGCGCCGCCAGCCAGCACCACCGGGACACTGCACCCCGTGACCGCACCCCGCAGACCCTGATCCTCTAGCTAGCACCTTCTTCCTTTCTGCCATTGCTTTTCTTTTCTGCCGGACCTTCCTATATTTCCCCATATCTCCATCTCTCTCCTTTTTTCCTCGTCCCCTCATCCCCACCTTAGACCTCTCCTTCTGCCCTTGGCTCCTCTTCATCTCCCACTCCTCAGGCAGCGGTCCCACTTAGTCCTGGGGACTCACTTGTGTCCTTCTTATCTCACTTTCTCCCCGCTCATCCCGGGGTGGTCTGACCTTGGGACAAGGAAGGATGGTTCCTGGGATGATTCTCATACCCTCTTTGCTGGGACTCGTGATGTTCTGGCTCCCGTTGGACTCGCAAGCACGAGCCCGTAAGTAGACACCAGACAAAGTCTGGGCAGGCAGGGGAGGGATGTGAACCCGTGAGATGTACTTTGCTGGAAGATGTTAGGACCTGGGGACCCCTTAACTTGTGCATTTATCCAAGCAGCACCTGCATAGCAGGGGTAGATGTTGCCCCACGACCAATGTGGGCTGGTGAGTCTTGAGGGAGAGAGGGGTTTGGCAAAATTCCACTTTGGGGGGCTGCTGGGGCAGGGCGCTGGGGCAGGGCAGTGTGCATTGTGGAAAAGGACCTTGTTCCCAGCAGCCTGGTGTGTCCACAGAGGAAAGAGTGTGAAAAAAAGAACGGCTGTTGTGTGGAAGAGTTCCGGGGCAGAAGGGTGAACAAAGTAGTACCCGTTATCGCTTTTGATACTCACAACACCCCAGTGAGGTGTCATCATTACGTTTAACAGATGAGTAAAGTCGGCAGGGCAGAGAAGAAAGTTTCCCAGAGCTCGTAAGCCATCCAAAGCCAAGAGTCTAATCCTGCCTTACAGAGTCTGGAAGACACCCCGATGTGGGGCTGTGAGACTAGAAGGCATCGGGGCATGGTGAAATAGATGAGGGTCTTCATCTCCCCAGTCCCACTGTATGCCAGCTGGTGGGTCAGACACGGAGGGCACCTCACCGTCTCTTTTCTAACCTATAAAATATGAGCCTCTTAAAACCATTATGAGTATTAAATGACAGGGAGCAGGCAGAGCAGCTTGTATAGGGATGTTACAAGGTGGCTTCATCAAAGTGCATCAGCTGCCTGAGCCCTTGGAGTTTTCACTTCAAACAGTAGGTTATGTAGGACCACAGCCCCTGTTTCCTTAACTGCAACCCCTTCTGAACGCCCCTGATAAAGAAATAGAGGCCGACGAGGACAGTGGTTTGCTCCAGGCCACAATTGCACAGCCAAGCTTGAAGACCCCCAGGTACCTACCTCCTAGCTGGCCACCTTCTGTTTTCGCAGCTTGGCTCCACCTGCCGGCGCTGTTTCTGTCTGGCTCTGACTTTGTGGAGCTGGTGAGGCTAGATTCTGTCCTGTTTCTTCTGCAGAGGGAAATGTTGCATGTCTGTCTGACGTTCCCTAGCTTGCTGGTGGTGTGAGATTCATGGATGTCCTAATGAACAGACAACAGAGAGGGCTCAGAGTTGGGTTTAAGTCCTGACTCTGCCTCTTACACCTGTGTCACATTTCGAACTTCTGTGAGGCTCCATTTCTTTATTGGCAAAAGAGAGCAACCAACCAAGGTCTAAGGGTGTGGGGGAGGACTAAAGGAAGCAATGCTTTCAAATGCCTAGCAAAATGTCAAATATCCAGTAAATATCCCCTCTCCTTCCTTAAACCCTGAGGGTTTCCTCCCAGCCTGCCTGCTGTCTACTGACAGAGACTTAGTCTCAGAGAACTACAGTGCCTCCCTGGCCTAGGTCCTGGTTCTGCAGCTTCTTCTCCAATCATTGCCCTGGGTGACCCACCCTGAGGATGGCTCAGAGGTACTCAGAGCCCCCTTCTGTCCTCCATGACCACTAGACCTTCAACAATTCAGACCCCTCTTCCAGAAAATTCTGCCTGGTGATCTGCTTTCTTTCTGACCTCCCCTCCTCTGTGCCTCCAAGGGCCTTCCAGTCGGCATCCATCACCAGGTTCTGCAGTAGGCTATCTCCTCCAAAAATACAGAGCTCCAGCCACTCAAGAAAATGACTGTCACTAAGGTGAGGTGACCTGGCATTCTGGGAGGAGCATTAAGATCCTGGTGTTGTCAAGGCTGGAAGATCTATGTGGTTCAACCTGGTCATACATCCCCTCTGTAACCCAGAAGTGGCCCCACTCCCTTATTCATCTACCCATCAGATTACCTACCTCCATAGTTAATCTGAAGGAGGGTCTACTACAAGGCCACAAAGAAAGGAACAGAGGCCTAGATCCTAACCCCGCGCTGTCATTTGTTGGCTGTGTGAACGGGGACACATCCCGTATCTCTGAGCCCAATGATGATTGGTGCTGTTGATCTGAGAACTTTGCAAGTCTCCTGCCAGTATCCCATTTTAAGGTCTTGTATGAAAAGTCTTGTTTAAGGATAAGAGAGATCTCAAGCTTGTGGTGTTTAAGAAGTCTCCAGGTGACATCCAAAGTGTTTTTACAAATGGTGCCAACAGATGGGTGTTCTCAGGTCCAAGGCAGCCACGCCCTGAAGCATGTCTGGGGCCGGCAAGCAGGGGTTTTGGCATATTCCTTAGCTGGAGCCCAAGGCTGCTCAGCAAAGGTTATTTATTCTCTCTTTGGCTCTACTTCCACCTGAAGATCCGTACTGAGTCTCCGTTGAGCCATTCTGAGCCCTAACTGTCTGACACTCACCACTGACTGACCCCCAATTCCACCTGAGGCTGGAGGTCTAGCCTTGTTTCCGACTGGTGCTGATCTCAGTTCCAGGTGGAGTCACGTCTATGTGGTTCTGCCCTGTTCATGCATCCGCTCTGTAACCCAGAAGTGGCCCCATCCCCTTATTCATCTCCAAGGCCTTCTCTAGTATTCGCTCCTCTCTGCACCGTGTCCTTACAAACTGTCTAACAAGCTTCAAGATTCTCTTCTCTCCTTTTATCTAATGGTACTTTCTCGAGAGGGTCAATCGCTAAGTAAGACATCAGCCCTCAAGGGTTTGTGTCTTATGAGAATTGGAGCTTCAGTTCTCGGTGATAGAGTCTCAGAATCCAGCAGCAGGCCTGGACAAGAAGGCAGTTCCTACAGGATGACGTGGTTCCAAAGGCAAACGTACCATTGGAATGTCAGGGTCCCAGCACTTGCTCTTTCCCTGATTCCAAATGTAACCCCAGGCCTCTGTTTGCTACCTATGAAGTACATGCTTGTCCTTAAACAGCTGATGTTTGAGGACCATGGTAGCATTGACTGTCTCTAAGATCAAGATGCCCTTGACTTCAATCTGAGTGAAAAAGTGCCTGGGGAGGGTGTGTGGCAGATGTAGGGAAATATGTGTCATGAGATGTTTACCAATATAGAATCCTGCTCTGCTGTCCTGCTTAGCCACATCTCTGTCCATCTGTCCAGATGTGCTCAACTGGGTGGAAAGCAGGTAAGGGAAGGCTTGAAGTTCAGCCTTGGGTAAGGCCCTGTGTCTGGGTCTCTAGGTACAAGGTTCTGCACCTCCCTGCTTCCACCAGTAGAGGTCTCTGCCTCACTCACTGGCTCCAAGCTGCAAAACCCGAGACAGCTGTGCAGTTGCTCCAGCTGTTGCACCTGTTCAGGGCTGGCCTCTCAAGTTCCTGCAGCCGCCGGCCATGGCGCCGGCTCAGAGAAAGGACCTAGAATATCTTGAACTCCCAAAGAGGAGGACTGATGTGAGAGAGATGTCATGTCCCTAGGAGATGCGGTGCAAAGATCAGGCATCACTCTGGGTAGGACCCAAACCTGTTGCTCATTCTTGTATTCAGGAGTTCTTCATTGTGTCTCAGCCGAGTTTGTTTGCTTGCAAGTCGAAGCCATTTCTTCTGGACCTGTCACTTGGACGGACACCTCTGTAAGCATCCTCTCCAGAGCTATAGAATGGTTGTGAAGTCTATGTGGGGACAGAACAGGGATCTCTGGCAAGTCCTGACTCCTCCCTCAGTGGGGCTCACTTTCTCTAGAGTAAAGGGACTGAACATGGTCTGAGTTCCTAACTTTCTAGGGTTCTGTGGATCTAAGTGTGTATAGTCAAGCAAAATAGAATGCAGACAACTCTCTTTGATAGGTAATAGAGATCCTCTTCCCGGCTCAATGATTCTGTCCTTGGAAGTACATCTATGCTTCTCAGTGACTGTCTGTCTGTCTATCTAGAAGAAGAGAGACACATTCAAAGAACTGTATCCTTTTTCCACAGTTTGGCCACTGAGGCATTTCTTGTAACAAGGGAAGCCAGAGCCCGGGGAAAAACTTATGTCTTAAAGGGTAAATAAAGTACGGCTGTGTGGGTAAAGATGGGCTCTAAAGGCTCACTCAGCTTTTCTGCGCTCTTGCTCCGATCCCAGACCTCACTCTTCTCTCCCTGAACCTCCTGGTATGTTTCTATGGCCTTCTCCAGCCTCACTTGAAGCTGCTTTCTGGTTATCTTTCCTGATTTCTATTGGAAGAGTCTTTAGGCATCCTCCCCACCTTTGACCTTGTCCACACTGGGTCAGACTGTGGGATGTTCTAGGAGGGGACACTTGAGAGCCCCTCATAAAGATCAGAGAATCATCTGTGCCCTCAGCAGCCCCGGGCTCCCGACCTCTGTGTACACTGTGTGCTTTGGTTTGGCAGGTGGTTTGGGAGTCAGTGGCCAAGAGCTGGAAGGGGAGGTCAAAGGTTAATTCATGTCATGTGGCAAGATATACCTGTTGAAAGGGCCTTGTTCTCCTCCCATGCAATAATGTTGTGTTTTCTGTCGTTAAGGAGAGAGGTTTCCAGGATTAAAGACCACAATTGGCTCTTCTGCTGGAGCCTCACTCTCTCTTTCTGTTAACTTCATCCATCCCTCCACTGGGTCATTCACGAAGCACTAACTCTATGCAGGCCCTGAACCAGGCAGAGGTCCAACATCTGTTCCTTCTTCTCACACAGTCTGGTATAGAAGACAAATTCACTCAAATAGCTTTTCTAATTCTGATGAGTCTGGACACCATTGTGACCAATCTTAACCCAGTCCTGAAGGTGAAGCCAAGGTCCTACAAGCTTGGGGTGGCTTTGTGGAAACAGTGGCATGTAGACAGTCTTTGGGAATGTGGGGGAGGGGCTGGTCCAACATTGGCAGTGTCCTCAGGTGGAGGAGATGTCAGTGAGAAAGAAGACCGTGAAGTGTGATGAGTGAGAGCAAGATGGGGTGAGCCTGAAAACAGGGTCACCGCAAACAGTAGTGGTTGAAATCGTAGCTGGGAGCCAGCTCAGGGACAGCCTGGGGGTGACCAGGGACTGTCTGGGATCTGTCTGGCAGATATGGCCATCCTAAATTGAGACCAGATAAACTAA